TTTTTTTTTTTTTTTTTGTGTCGGCTAGCCGCTAATTGTTGCAGGACAGTGACGTCTCAGGATTTCTTCCCTGGTGGGCGGTTGGAATGGTACTGTACTCGGGTTCTTGTTTAACCTCTTCGTGCGGTTGATCAGGACTGTGGTTGTGGTGACCTCTGGTCACAACGACACTTCCTTCTGTCAGTTACCGAAAACTTTGACCATAGTTCTTGGGCACGGATATAGTCAGGGATTCAATGCTTGAATCCAGCAGCTGAAATTTTGTTCCACGACCTTCAGTGAAATTGAAATGCCGGCCGGTAGGAGACTTGGTCTAAGAGGATGGACTGGGCTAGACCCTCTGACCCTCCTAACTGATCCTGACCCCCCGTCCTTGGAAACCAAGAGAGCCAGTAAAAGAGCTCAAAAGAGAGCCGGAGCTCGCCCGGAAAGAGCGCCACATAAACATGAGAGCAATCATCGAGTACGTATCTGATGGGTCGCATAGTACCAAGGTAGTAGGTAATGGTGGAGTGCAAAAGTAGCGGATTCTGACAGCGGGGAATCTCATATTGATTATTCGGTTACTAATCGAGCCTGTTTTCATTGAAAGGAATTGACTTTGTTCTTTTGCAGGAGGATACGTACTCGTAAGGCCACTCACTGGCGGGTCTGTCGCGCGTGTCGATCGGATCTCAGGGACCTCCACCCTACCGCCCTCGGCTCTTCCCTGTATTGCTGATCCCTTCCTTGTAAAGCTTTAAAAGTCGTCGCAAAGCTTGAGTGGCGATAGCTTCGTACGTGTCGCTGAATCGCGAGCGGCTATTGCTTCTTATCGTGGCTTACCGTATGTAGGTATGTACCGAAGGATTGCGACAGCTGCGTGATTTGAAGTCGGTTGTTTGAGACTGGGTATCAGGATATAACAAGGCAAGCGTATCCGGCTATCATATTAATTGGCATTGAAATGCGCTAAGTCTCTCTTTGTTTGCCAGATGTTCGCGATGCAGCAGATCAAAAACTTCAGTAATAAACGTTAAAGAACACCACTTGGATGAATAAGGTAGTCGCTGCCCAAGTCTTGAACCTAGTACCGTACCTTAGTAGGCAGGTACTGTACCTACAGGCCGTACCTACTATATTTGCTACAGCACTGTAGCATTACACTACTGACCAGAGTCAAAAATCTGGGGCAGGAGCGACCTGTTGGCCCCTAAAAGACAAATCACGAGACGGTGGCAAAACGGTTCCTTCTGCCAGCGGGACGGGGAGTTTTACGTTCCCATCCTGGACGGTTCAACACCATCTCCTGCGACGACCATGATCACACAAGCCAACGTCACAGAGTCAGCGTCTTCAGGCCCGTTTTATGTTTCATTACGTTTCAAGCCACCAGCATCATTGACAACCGTCTACATATGCACAAGTGCTTTACAGTATTGTCATCTTGTACCTTTGAGCGTCCACGATGTATACAATTGCTAAAAGGCTGGGCATCGCTCTGAATGTCGTTCCAAGCAAATACCTGGGGATTATTGATGCACAGGCATAGGCACAGCCATATGCACTCCTACCTTACGCCTACCTGTCTTACCTCAAGAAGAGCTTATCCGCAAGGTCTTCATCCATGAACGCAGAGACCTTTTGATCTCGGAGATTGTACCTCCCCGTAGAACCCACTAACATCCGCTTCCAGGGACCTCTGCCTTGAACACCGCGCAGCTTGACTTCAAGGAAAGCAATTCTCCACAGCAACAACATGTTTACAGTGCAGCAGAAAGGCCTGCATGCAAATGCGCCGCATCATCTGAGGCCTTGGCCTTGAAATGCTCTTGTCGACTTTACGGACACTCTGCCAATGGTCGCTCCACCTATGCACTTCTGTCAAGGTTTCCAAGTTCGCTATCGAAACGCCCCCCGTTCACTTAACTCGAATTAGGTTCTGCTGTGGCTGTCCCTGCTTGGACCCTGTTTCTTTGCTACCGGCACCGTTGCTCGGCTCGAGCGCTTGCTTCCAATCACAATTCCGAATAACCTCTCGACTACGTTCTTAATGCAAAGTTGTGGCACTCGGTACCTGAATATGTTCGTCAAGATGGTGGACCGATGGACGGTGGCGGAAATGGTAGCTCTTTATGTGACCTCAGCCACCAGTGTCTGACGAGACGGTAGTCTCCCAACTTACATATTACCACTCCAGCCGAGCAGGGGACTCTGTCACTTTGTGCCGAACCTGATGGATATACAGTACTGACCTGTATCTGGGTCATTGTTGATTAGTCTCGCTTACGGCCAAGTATACCGTCCGTGGTTACTTCGCGGCGAGCTCCATCGTGTGTCTTAACGGCCTCTCGAGACCGTTGATCTTGCTCGGTCCTACCATAGCACCACCATATCGTTCTGGTAATAGCTACACTTATCCTTACCTACTCGACTCTCGTCCAAGCTCTCTTCCTCCACTTCCTCCACTCACTCCTCCACCGACACGGCCCTAGCAAATTCCCATCTTCGAGCTGTGCTAACTTGGAGATCGCCCATCACATTTCCCATCTGTCATACAAATCTGTGGCTCACACCCCCATGGGCCTATCCTACTAGCACCCCTTCACTTGGGCTCGTTTTGGTCATTTATTCCCTTTATCCCTGCGTGTGTCCCTGCCGTACAGTAACTTCCAAGCCTTCCACGAGCCCTAGCTTCGGAAGCTTTGACTGTTGGCCACTCGCTATCTCCGTTGTTAAAGCCTTCTGCTGTTCAATCGTGGGCTTAGATTTCGCCCCTCGCCCCTCCAAAAGCTCCTCTAGTCTGGCATTCCCTTAGAGGCCGTTTTTCTTTTGAATGTTCCTGACGCTTGAGGAATTGCTTTTGTCAATCCACTTACACCTTCAAGGACACTCACTTGCAGCTTTAACAAGGCTGGCATAGTCCTAATACGATTCAAAGGTCGTATACACCCCTTTGCAGGCGCTTCCTTCTTGTTTCTGCCAGTACACCGGGAGGCCTACAGCCACTAGATTTCCCCATCTTGTGCTGCTGTAAGTGCTTGTGCGTTGAGCCAACTGCGTGGCTGACCGCCGACTCGGGAGGCGGATTTGCTGCATTTCGACACTTCACTTCAAGTAGTCCACTCGTCCCTGGACTAAGTCCATATCCCTGTTACGCCAAAAGGAAACATAGTCAGTGCCCATTATCGATCCCATCATCGCTTCAACTCTTTTCCTCTTCGAAAACTTGGCACCGGACTCGAAGGTGTTCAACAACTTCACTAGTTTCCCCGTGGGGCAATACACGCCTTTCTTCGAACACATTCTCCAGGAACTGTCTTTACCACTACCGCCACTTGGGTTCTCTGGAATTACACACAAGACGAAAGAGCCATAATTTCGTCTCTTCTTGGAACAAGTCGTGGGGCCCATTATCCCCCACCCTTGAGCAACGTTGTCGGCTCTGACATATTCTCGGCCACAAAATTGCTCGATATCCCCCCTCTCTATTTGTCCTTAGTATTGGTCAGTCAAAGACACCATAAAAGGGCTAGATCATTGTTTCTTGAGAACCAACCCTGTTCACTTGTGGCTCTGGCTAGCAAGTATACGGATATTCGTCAGAAACGTCAACGACTGACTTCTTCTTGTTGGATCGCCTGAACGCTACCGACTCCTGAATTACTGCGTTAAAGGTACTATAGCCCTTCTTGCAAAAAAGCAACCCATAACATCTACAGTATCGGATTTGGATGGTTTGCTAACGCGAAGCAATAGCAGCTGTCCTATCACCACAGTTAGATAACACCTACGAAGCAACTCAAATGGGAGATATAGCTAGCGCCCAAGTCTCAGACTCGGTGGCATTCCAACAGGAAACTACTAAGGTCGTCGATACAGTAGCAACTGGAGGTCATCTGCCATCCCAAGGCGAGTCAGAAACTGCTCAGGACCACGAGCTTTCTCCACGGTCCCAACAACACTCTGCTGCATCTCAGAACGCTTTCGCAACACAGTTCGACATGTCTCAACCTCCCTCGGGCCCTCGACCGGGGCCATATAACATGGCACCCATGGCCAACGCTCTCCCTCCGATGGGTTTCCGACCTGGACAGTATCCTCCAACTACCCAGCAACGCATGAACCCAGCAGGGTCGCCTCCAATAATGCAGCACATGTCACAGTTTCCTGGGCATCCAGCAGTTCCAGTTGCTGGGCAGGGTTACTATCTACAACCGCAAATGGCGCCATACTACGGGAATCAGATGCCTCAAGCTCAAGCGACACCTGCAATGGTTCAGAGGCAGAACATGGCATATTTCCCTAACCAGATGATGATGAGCCCTCAGCAATCGACTTACTACTACCCTCCCGGTCCCCAATACCAGGCTCCTGCGCAACCTCTACCGAACGGCGGCGTTCCTGGTCACTATCCAGGTGGGGGGGCTATGCCGAATGAACCACGAATCATGCCGCAGCAGGCAGATTATGGAGTAGTTCACCCGCAACCTTTCAAGCAGGGACAAGGTAGGACTGGGAAGCAATCTCCTGCCAAGACTGGACTAAAGAAAACCTCAGATGGGTCAGAGAGAGAGAGACGACAGAGTGCAGTGCGAGGCCCTCCTAGAAAGCCGCGACAGAGTGGTGAGATAACCTACCTGGATGACCTGTGAACATTTACTAAAGTCACGCACCAGGACACGCGATCTGGATTGGCAATCTTCCTCCACAGACCGACCTTATGAATCTTGTCCACCACGTTTGCAAAGAAACGTCCGGCTTGGAGTCACTTTTCCTCATCTCTAAAAGCAACTGTGCATTTGCCAACTTCAAGGACGAGGAAACCTGTAGCGCGGCACAACAGAAGCTACACGACTCGAAGTTCCAATCGGTCCGCCTTGTTAGTAGGCTGCGCAAGAGTACAGTGGAGGGTGCCGCTGGTGTGACAGCCCCAACTGGACCATCGGTGGCCACAGCGGCACCAAAGACCGACCCAGTACCAGACAAGTCGCAAACGGATAGCGAGCTGCTTGACCCAGGAGCTGAGCCGACAGGAGCTCACAAGTCAGGTGTTGCTGGCGATGCCTCCCCACAGAAGGATAAATTCTTCATTCTGAAGAGTTTAACGGTTGAGGATCTTGAGTTGAGTGTTAACACCGGCATTTGGGCTACTCAATCACATAATGAGGATGCACTAAACAATGCCTTCAAAGTACGTTGCCATAACATCATCCACACTGAGGTGTACAAAAATTGACTGGTCGCAATAGGTCGCTGACAGCGTTTACCTGGTGTTCTCGGCCAATAAATCGGGCGAGTATTATGGTTACGCTAGAATGGTGTCACAAATCAACGAAGACCCTGCAGCAGCCATTGAGTTTGCGCCAACTGCCCAAGCAACCAGCGACCTTGACCTTCCGAAAGCTATACCGACCGAAGCGACTGAGCAGGCTCCTAAGGGCCGCATCATTGACGATTCTGCCAGGGGTACGATCTTTTGGGAAGCTGATCGAGAGGATTCGGAGACGCTATCAGATGGGGAGAGTGAAGCTGAAGTGTCGGACACCAAGAGCAACGCTGGGGAGGAAGGCCCTGCTAAGACGTGGGGAAAGCCTTTCAAACTGGAGTGGCTATCTACAAGCCGACTACCGTTCTATCGTACACGAGGATTGCGCAACCCTTGGAATTCGAATCGCGAGGTGAAGATTGCACGAGATGGTACCGAACTTGAACCATCAGTTGGGCGAAGGCTTATCGGACTTTTCAACCGTGTGCAGAGCCCAGAGACAGTTCATCAGGGCGTGCGGGTTCCCATGGCCATGATGCAAGGCTTCGCCCCAGTACGACCATACGGACAATAAGAGCTGAATTGGACATGAGACGGGTTCTCTAAATGGTGTTCTCTATATCCGGCTATCGCAGTGTCCCTACAAGTGGGCTTACCGAGACGATATTTCAAAGGCACGAGGATATGATTTTGGAATCTATGCAGGGCATATTCGGCATGTTACTACGGACAATATCATGCATGGCTATTACAACTGTAACTATATGGCATTTTAGGTCTTATTATGATAACTAGCTAATATCCAAGGGGTTTGGTGTTGTGGCAATAATACGGTGCATGGTAACTGGTTGTGACCTGAGGTGCTGGCTGGGACAGCAAAATGTTGATACCTCTAATTGACCATGTCAGATCACTACTAGCTAGTCTCAACATTGGCTTTCTCTTGACTTGTCAGGTACCAGGTGGCAACGGCCAGTCCGGATGGTTCAACAGTGATTCCCCGTTGCTTTCCGTGAGCGGGCCGCTCATGTCCGAATTAACTCGGGGCGTGTCTTTGATGTTGCATGTTAGTCGGTACGTATTAATTTAATTTAGATCAAAACGATAAGACAAGGTGAGGTTGGGAGCGTTGTGGCAACGTTGTGGCTGATACAAGAGCCACGGTGGGGTGTGTTTTGGGGTTGTTGGTTGATTTCCACAGAGGGTAAAAGAGCAACTGGAAACAACATTAACTTGGCGCTAAACAATTTAATGACCGAGCACGTAAAACTGACAAGTCGCCCCTGTCCCCTTGAGCTGGGATTTGGAGTAACTTACCTTAGCTTTCTGGGGCAGGCGGTGCTGTGAGTGTGCTCTGACCTGTCCGACCTGACTTGCCCTGCGCTAATAGCCTTAGCAGCACAGAGCGTCATGGACTACGTCATGTTCTAGACCCTGCTGATCCGAACTGGAACGGGCGAGACCCTGACCCTTGGACTCCATCCCCACCATCTCCATGTGGGGGTCGGCATTTGACGTGATGGTGATCCTGATCTTCCACCAAAAATGCATTGAGACCCAAGTAAGTACTGTACTTGCTTACTATAATTAAAAATCATCATCGGAAATGACAAGGCACGAAGCCAAGGATCATAGTAACAGCCACAATGAATCATTATCGCAACCGATGGAATACAATACGTACCATTACCCTTCGTCTTTGTTCTCTTTGTTTCGATGCAGACATCGTCTGTCTCTACGTCATATTTTGGCTTGAAGAATCCCGATGCCATCTCGATCCGTGTCGATGTTACTTTAAACATGGACCCTGGTTTTTCCTTAGAACATTCAAGAAAACGTGGCTTTCATATGTCATTGAGTTTCTCTTTGATCAATTCAAGGTCCTGATTGAATTAACTTGGAATTCCTGATTCTTTCGACAATTTGATCTCAGTTGGATGCAAGTCTTGACTTGAGGGTCTTCATCGATTCAAGAGCTCTTTCAACATTGCCTATTGCCATAAATCTAGTAGAGTATTTGTCTTTATAATATTCTCTACTAACGAGTGGTATAGATCTGAACCGATTACAATGATTGCCAGCCGTTGCTGTCCAGGCCGATCCTGTTCCCTCCCGATCGATACCTCGCCGATACAATATAGTGTTCTCATCAAAGACGATACATGATGCCTTTTTTACATATTCATGATGCTATGGGTATATGGAGACATCAAGTGGCCTCATATCGTTGCCTGTTTATGTGTTGGCTATGACCATTGCCTTCCTCAATGAGCTGGTCGTTCTAGGTTTCATCTGTTGTATTGCTGCCGATAGCGGTGGTATTGATTGATGGCCACTCTGGTCCATCAAGTGATGTTACAGATCTCAATACTCGTCTGGCATAGAACATGGTCGTTCTTGGAGAATGCACTTCGACTGTCCTGTGTTTCCATCCCAGGCTTGTTGAATGTGGCTTCTGCCTGGGGTGCAAGCTTGCTGGAGACTCAAGCGTTTCTTCACCGTTCAAATATTGGTCAGCTATCAGACATCTTGAGTCCTTGTTTGGTTTACAATGATGATTGGAAAGTCTCTTGATGCATCCCATGGACAATGTCCTTCTGCTGTGGTGGAGAGGTCGATCATCCGGCCTACGGCATTGAATCTTGGGCACAATCAAAGGTGCGACCTGCCGGTGGATGATTGGAAATGGGATTACAAACCCTTTCTTTCATTCAAATGCTCTGCTGGAATACATGGTGTTAGATGAGGGGCATTCTATATGATTCACTATTCGACCAAGCCAATTCAAACATTGTTGCTGTTTAGGACAAGAGGTTGGTCGCCCTCTCGCTTGGCTCTCGAAGCCATTGTTTTGGCAATCATTCCCGTTGTCCAGCCTTTCTAATTATGTATATTGTTAGTGAGCCTTTCTACAGATTCTCACGGGCTAGTTGCTTCGCTTGTTGTTCCCAGTGCTGCTAGTATGAAATAGTCTCTCCTTCAATACAGACCTAGATTCGACTTGAACTTATACCAACAATGATGACATTGATCCTTTGTACATAATATATATATCTACTATCACTTTGGTGTCTGCTGGTGTCGAGATTTTTTCTTTTGGTTTTGTTGACCAAGGGTTTGACGCTTGACTCTTCAACATCAGCTACATCCTCGACACCTTGATATAGTATTAGCAAGATATAACAACAACTTCACCACTACTTTAGTTACTCCGAAGCATAAATAAATCTGATGTTTTATTTGTTGGAATATTTTGATTAATTTGTCAGCGGCAAAGTGCATCCGTGTTAGTAGTCACGTACCTGAACCGTGAATCAAGGATATGTGTTTGAGCGGTTCATGCAAGAAACCTCGTTTCAATTGGTCCAACGACAAAGATAAAATTTGAAGACAATCAATAAACTGAACTGGTAAGCTTGATACCGAATTTCAATAGCTGCTGAAGCAGGTATAGACGCTTTGATGCTATGAAGGTATAGGGTAGGAAAGCACGGTTATGTAAGCAGTCGCCGTGCACGGATCATTTCATGAAATCTGAACTTCATGATTCGATCCCGGACCATCTTGTCCGTATCGAACATCAATGGAAAGCACAAAGACCCAATCACTCACCAAGATCAGTCAATTCAAAAGGATTTTAGAACTTCAAAGACACCCAGTGTAATATTGAGACATTTCCATGATATCTAATCTTAGAATCTTAATGTTGCGAATGCTATGTTCTCGTCGGGCTAGTAATCTCTGGAACCTTCTACAGTGATCCAGCAGTTTCTTGTAAGTGCGAACAACCAACAGAGGCCGTGATACCTCGCTTATTCGTATGATTTGATGTCAACATTACATCGAATGCTTCGCTTAACTGCTTTGTCGAGTTTCTATACCCCTCTTCTGCAGTCGTGGAATTTCTAGAACCTCCAAGTAGCAGGTTTCGTCGAGCTTTCGCGAAAGGTAAGGAAGCTCCCGTCTCCATCACATCTGCCTCACCACCAGGTATAAAGCAACGCCTCTCTTCCTCCAAAGTTGGACTTCATTCTTCATCAGAACACAAGCAAACAAACAATCACAAGCAATCAACACTCGCCAACAACCACTACTTCAAAACTCTCTACGCACTCTTGCGACTCAACACTCTCAAACACACTACTACTACCTATCACTTTGAATCAACTCATCTTCAAACCCACCAACAACATAACAAACACAATGGCTTTCTTCCCTCGCAACCTCTACAACTCCTCCGACGCTTCCTTCACCCCTCTCTTCCGTCTCCTTGACGACTTCGACAGCTACTCTCGCCAGGGCGGACAGAACGGAAATGGCACTCGCCGCAGCGGCCTCAGCCACTGGCAGCCCAAGTTCGATGTCCGCGAGACCGGAGAGTCCTACGAACTCCACGGTGAACTCCCCGGCATGAAGAAGTCTGATGTTCACATCGAGTTCACCGAGCCTCAGACCATGCTCATCCGAGGCAAGACTGAGCGCACCTACACTGCTGGCACTCCTCCCGCTGGCCTCGTCGAGGGCAACGAAGCCCAAGGCGCGATCGAGGGCAGTGAGGAGCACAAGAACAACCACCACGCTACCGTCGAGGATGAGGAGCAGGCCAAGGCCCACGAGACCAGCACTGAGGTCACCCACCAGCAACAGAACAATGACGTTCAGAAGAAGCCTGCTGATCAGTCCAAGTACTGGCTCACCGAGCGCAGCTTCGGCGAGTTCTCTCGAAGCTTCAACTTCCCCACTCGAGTTGATCAGGACAACGTTTCTGCCAAGTTCAACGATGGTATCTTGAGCATCGTTGTTCCCAAGGCGAAGAAGCACGAGTCTCGACGCATCAACGTTGAGTAAACTCAACCACATAATAAAATATCGATCTTAACAACGAAGCGAGATATCCAAGGTTATCTCTTGTTCTGGGATCAGTAATGAACCGATTTTACGACATTAGCTTGCATGGAAGGGTGTTTGGAAGTTTAGTAGCATGTTGACTGTAGGCCAATTTGGCCATTCACTCCTTGTGAAGTAGCAAATAATAATTCATTACATTTGAACAAACAAACTGTACTCTCCAGTGCCTGAAAAACCAGTGACATGTTCTCATGGAGTGTCTACAATGGATGCCTAGAAGGGGTTCCATCATAAAGTCTAAGTCGTAGGAAATGAGAGGCCACTTACAAATACACGCGGCCAAAATTATCACCATTCCTTCTATAAAAGAGTGGGCCATGGTTTTGAGCACTCATTGACACGTGACTTGGCGTAGCTTGGTGGCGCTGCTGCCTCCCATTAGACGCGTCCCACCGCGCTTTCCCTTAATCCTCCCCCCCCCCCCCCC